CTGTATCATAGCAGACACCTGGAGGTGATCCAGGCTACTCCTTCTTGCTGGCCACTGCGACTTTGAATTCCACTTGGACCACAGTGAGGCATGCTTCTTGGCTGCATGTAGGGCCTTGGCCCTCATCCCTCATCCCCCTCTTCCTGACAGAGGGAGGTGCTGGATGTGACTCAGCTCACAGGCAATTTCCTCCAAAGTCCATCCCTATTGTGATGGCCAGAACCACGGGTTTCCTGCAGCAGACTGTGATCACAACTGGCAGTACAGAGTGGGAGAGCTGCTGAGTTTTCTCTGGGCTGCGCAGATGAGGCAAAGGATGCTGACTGCTTTGATCTAGATGGAGCTTAGCAGCTCTCCTGCATTATTCCACTGACTGTGGATCATCATGTGATGGAGCCCCTACATTTCCAATTGTTGCCTGGTGAGGCAGGGCAGGGCAGGGCAGAGCAGCTGGGGTGCTGTAGAGTACAGTTGTGTCCCTACTGTCCAGTTGGGGTGGCTCTGTTTTATCTGGGATACTTCTGCTGGAGAAGTCTCCTGGCAAGGCCTCTGTGGGGATGCAGTCGGGCAATGGCTGTGACACGGCAGGGGTAAGCCGCGGCTCTGATGGGCACTCAAGAACCTGGTAAATGGATGCTGTGTGGTGCAGCATGGGGACAGGCTGCAAATCAGAAGACCGGGAGTAACCTCAAGTTTCAGGGAGGTAGAGGTCATGCCAAAATAGTACCAAACAAATCAAGTAATGTACTCAATCTGTTTTCCAGTTTTAATAGCATTGGAGCAAGGCAATACAACAGGTTGAAAATGCAGATTCTCTGTATTACAAGTCATCTTTGGAGTTGTAAATACCCAAAAGATATTACTTCCAACTTTATGACTCCGCAGAAGTACTTAAATTAGCCGTAAACACTTTTGGAACCTACAGAGGTCAAGGAAGACACTTTAAAAAAATGTGAGACTTTCCTTTATGCTTTATTTACATCAGTTTAAAAAAAAAAACAAATACTTGGAGCCATGGCAGAAACATTCCAAACTCTTAAAATAACAATGATGTATATCTTTGGCTTTTGTCACAATATAATTGGTCATCAGCATTACAACAATGTAACTATTGACAAACACCAAATATAAATTCCTAACTGCCCTTACCTGCCAAGGAATATTTCCGCACCATTTCAGATTATCTGCCTTCCCCTTCACACAGCGATAGTATAACCTACAGAACAAGCACAAGATAAATACCGAAATCGGAAATGCTTGCCCTCATACAATATTTCTGCTTTATGAAAGAAATCACGCAATTTGCTTCACTTTAATAAACGTATATTATGCCAACAACTTTACACAATATGGAAACTATATTGAGAAAACTAAACCAGTTTAGTGGTAGAGCTATCTACTGTGCACAGAAACAAAACAACTTTTATGATCCTTTGTGGAAGTGAGCAATGACAATATTGTCTCAGACAGTGTTACTTAAAATTAAGGCCTATGGCTGTATGGCCAAACTTGCAAATTTGAAAAGGTTATACATCTAAATTAGTTTACTCCACTAGGAAAGGAGACATACCCAATGAATCCAAATCACAGGAGAAAAGAAGAAACTGCAATGTCTCTGCTTGTTTACATAATAAATGCATCTCATCCACAAGATCAGTTTGTAAAACTACTAGAAAGATTTACAGGAAGCAATGCAAAAATGATATGGTTCCCTCTTTCACCAGCCCTTCAGAATAAAAAGCATACCACATGAATTTCATGTTTGTGAAACATGAATTGGAATTGCTTGCATAATAGTAACATTAAATCTTACCAACAAGACTGGATGTCAGATTTTGCAGAGATAGCCTGAAGTTCCACAACTGAGCCTGCATGTACTAGGCAGTGAGACACAGGAATACTGTGAAAGACAGACAATATCACCATTAATTGCAGAATACATAATAGGCATTGTAATTGGTATCCCTGAAAGAGGCAAGGTGAACATTGTGGAACTAAGGTTCTCACTGTTAACTGTTATCCTGAAAAAGAAAATGAGTGAGTCTGCATCATTTTCACTGAATTCAGAAGCGGAATCAAGTTTATAAATATCTGGGGTACATTTAATCTAGGGTTTTAAAAAAAATTAACAAATTGTACATGTGCAGCATTAATTAACAGCAGTGTGGGAAAACCATCCATGGGCATTCCTTTCTGTCAAAGATTTGTTTGGGACAGAGGCGGTGGAGGGAATTAAATTCCACCCAGTAGGTCAAATGACCTCATTCAGCTTGGAGAGTTGGAGCTATTCTCTTTGAAACACATATAACTCAATTGCCTCAGTAAAGGCTTGATCAGCAGCTCTGGACAACCAGGGATATGGAGAAAGATCAGGAATTAAGATCAGTTTCCTGTAGGATAGGAAACAGGAGAATAGTACACAACATGTCACTCAATGAGTTTGGAGATCATGGAGGGAGAAACCAGTAAAATTTGGGCAGATCATCTTTATGCAGAAAGTCATCATTAACTTAGCTACATGTCCAGATTCCAGAGAAAAATGAATGTGCAAGAAAAGTAATTTTTGGAGGCTGCTAATAAAGAAATATATTTTATTAGTTTTCTTAATCTTGAAATAGAAACTACAATGAGTCATATTAAGAGAGCATACTGTTACTCAACATTCAACTGCCGCAACTTCCTGACTCTTCTCACAAAAAAGTATTTCTCTGACTAGAAAAGAGCTCATATGAAACTCCATTTCATTCCACAAAGGAGAGGTAGTGTTACTTCCCAAATTATCCTATCACAATTAGATCTTTGATATGATGTGCACATTATGATATGCAACATGTGGGCGTCACGTACAGGAATAACCAATTGATATACTTTGGACAGATCTGTTAATTGTACCTAATATCTCTCACACTCTCAGAACATAAATGCTTTATACAGAGTTACTTTAGAAGTACAGTCAGTCATTCTCATTTCAAATGTGGTAGCAAATGTACATACAGTAAGATGTCGCAAACATCAATTAGATAAGTGACCTGTTAATTGGTTTATTCAGGTGTTAATTAAGAGATATTGGTCAATTCAACAGGGAGACGTGTGCTATACACTAGTGAAAATACTATTTGCCTTGAAATGATTGCCAGACTTCCTCCACAGAGACAAGTCATTTGAAGATCCAGTGTAAGGATGATAGGTCAAATATCCTCCTTCTGCACCACAGCAATTCGGTGAAACGTTTGACCAATAACAGAAATTCATAAGATACTTAATGTCACTGCCAATTCACCAATTTCCAACTTCCCCAGAACTCCACATTGGGTTTGACTTCAAAACTTCAAGCTGGGACCACAATTTTCCAACATTTCAAAAAAATATTCTGTAAAACAATAATTATTTCCACTCCCTCCTCAATACCGGGATCTGGAACAAACAATACATACTCAGCAAGCTGTGTGAACGCACATGGTGGGCCACCACGGTTTCCACAGATATAGAAACTCTTTCCTTTGGTTGCTCCATCTCTCACTCCAGTCTTCAGAAAGCAGGCTGTTCCTGCAGCACATAAGAGTGTACAGACAATCAAGAAATGAGTTAGGATGTTAAAAAGTAGGTGCAATATAAATCTAAATCTTTCCTATTTTAAGTAAGCTGATTATATACTTTTAAAGTGTAATCACTGGTGTAAAGTAGGAGTCATGGCAGACTGAAACAAACAAAGTAGGCATTCAAGTTATTTATTTTGGGCTCTGACTCAGAATAGTCATTTGACAGGGCATCAGCAGAATACCCTTGCCTAAAGTTTTGGCAAAGATCGGTAGCTCGGGTTGTGGATGAGGTTGTTGATTTGTTCACCGAGCTGGCTTGTTTTTGTTCAGATGGTTCGTCACCATGCTAGGTGACATCATCAGTGGAGCCTCCGATGAAGCGATGTCATTCTACTCCACTTGGAATTTGTACTGTCTGGTCCGTTATAGTGAGTAGTGTCATTTTCGTTTTGATCTGTATGAGTTTATATATGGGGTCCAATTCTATATTTTTGTTGATTGAAGTTACCCTTTTGTCCTTAACGTATTTGTAGAATCTCTCTGGATTGTCCTTAACCCCATACATAAACCCACACAGATCAAAACCGGAAATGACAGTACTCACCATAATCAGGCTGGACAGTATAAATTCCAAGTGGAGTAGAATAACATCGCTTCACCGGAGGGTCCACTGATAATGTCACCTAGCAGGTGACGAAACGTCCGAACAAAAACAAGCCAGCTCAGCGAGCAAGTCAACAACCTCAATACACTTGCCTTTCTGCAAATAGTACAAGGGATCTTTTAAGACCATTTGACAGGGCAGATTTTGATTCAAAAGTTGGCACCTCCAACTTTGCAATACTGCCAGAGTACTCCATTGGAGTGACTCCCTTGATTTTATGCCCAAATCTTTGGAATGGGACTTGAACCCATTGTCCTGTATCTCAGGAGGCAAGATTGTTGATACTATATCATGGCTGTCAACTTCAAGGTACATGTTTTCTTAAAAGGAATTTAAATGAGAATTCTTTATTCTGATAAACTACACTACTCTGAAGGCACATTTCATTTAGATACAACAGCGAAACATTTTAAAATCATCTCTGACAAACTTGAAATTAAAGGACCAAAACATGAAATGCACTCTGCATGACTTTCAGACTCACTGTACACGCCCAAAATATCACACAGTGTGATTGTGCGCAATTCTTCCTGTTTGAATCAAAACAAGTAACATCTTTACTTCAAGCTGTTGATCAATGATTCTTTTTAAACTGCTTGGTCAATATGTTTCAAACATGCAGCACCTTGACATTTTTTTGGTGGCTTTGATCAGCAGTTCCAGCCTTTGTTGATGGTGAAAGAACAGGAGGCGGCCACCTTGAGCCTGTCCTATCATTCAATGAGTCTATGTCTGTTTTGTATCCCACTTAATTCCACTTAACAAATGGATCCAACAATGGAATTGGAATGGTTTAGTAAGATATGGGCCAATTGGGTCCAGATTTATTTAGGATAGCTGGTCAGCATGGATGAGATGGACTGAAGGCTCTGTTTCCATGCTGTACATCTCTGACTCTAAAACTTCGGTGATTTCCCTGAACCAGCGAGTACTAAATCAACATTTTCTCTGGCACACTCACAGGCACAATAACATTGTAATTTCTGACACCTAGACTAAAAACAAATAAAAGAACAAACAACTTCTACTTGTTCTCATATCAGTTAAGTCATTTCAATACCAAGACATGGTTAGTGCACCAAGGGTTGCATCCAGGTAAAAATGTATTTTTGCCCCAATCTGCAAGTGTTCATGTGCCAAGGACATACAATAAGCACACTTGGTTATTCACTATTTTTCCAGAGTAAACTTACCAGCAATAAAACTCATATACAATAACTACATTTTAAATTGGTTTGTGGCAAACAGTTTTGTTTTAAAGAAACCTGAAATATTAACTCCATTTGAAAATGTACATCCCCATTATTTACTTAAAGCAACCTCACCTATGGACATGGCAAACACATAAAAACACAAGCAAAGGACTGCAGAAATTGCACGTTTGAAATAGAAACTAAAAATGCTGGAACTTGGCAGCAGGCCTGGCAGCATTTGTGAAGAACAAGAGTTAAGGTTGATGAAATCCTCATTCTGATGGAAGATCATCAAACATTGCTGACTGTTTCCAAAATCTTCAGTTTCTACTGCATTTATCATGAACAAGGCAGCATCACAGATGTAATCAGCAGCAAAATGAACCAACAACTTCCAGTATTTGGTATTTCTTCCTGGTTTCAAGCATCTAGGTTTTTATCTGCAATTTGGTCATTAAGATTGTAGAGTGGCATTAGAAATGGAAACTTTCCAAAGTATAGGGGTGCCAGCAAGAGAGAAAATTGGGATTGTAGTCGAGTAGAGCACCTACATTATACAGAAACACAGTGAGTAGTTACATTGTATCTTCACGTGCCCATGTCAAAGCATTACTTTTGAACAGCAACAAGAACCAATAAGTAAACCATAATATAAACAAATAGTGCTGGCGGTTGATAAAATGAAGGTCGCCAGCACATGCAGAAATCAAATAAACACAGAAAGTGCAGGAAAGGTTCAGCAGGCCAGTAAGTATCTCTGCAGAAAGAAGCATTACTAAAGTTTTCAGGTCTGTGCCCTTGCATGTAAACCAGTAGAAATTAGAGATATGTAATGGGTTCTTGGCAAATGAAAGAGAATGGATATCTGTGATGAGGCAAATAGCAAGATAAATGACCAAAGAGTGCATGAAGCACAAGGCAAAAGGGAACAGTAACAGGACGGGTAAATAAACAAAAGATGTATCTTGAGAAACGAACAGTAGAATCATGAAGTGTTTCTATCCAAAAGCAAAAAAAAAAAATGCTGAACTACAACCAACAAAGAAAATTAAAACCAAATCGAGGCAGAGATTACACCTAAAAATGAGTGGACTCAATGGAGACTGGGAGGCTGCAAACTGCCCAGTCAAAAGATAATGTGCTGTGCCTCAAACATACAATGGAGATCCTCAAAACTGCAGGAGATGGAAGCTGAAAAATCAGAGTGAAAGCAAATTGCAGAGTTAAAACGACAGACGACTGAAAGCTCCATATGATGCCTACAGCCTGAACAAAGACATTCCATAGTCAGCCTAAATTCAGTTTTGTCTCTCCAATGATTGAGGTCACAGAAATGTGTGAAGGCTACTGTAATCAAACTATAAGGAGAAATAAATCTTGATTTCATCTGGAAAGAGCATTTATGATGATAAAGTGAGGTTGGTGCTATATCTGCTAAATTTGCATATAAACACCCCATAGTAGGGGAAGGTAGTGACTAAGGAATGGACCAGGCTGTTGCAGAGACAAGTGTCTACAGATTGCTAAAATTTAGAGGAAGATGTGTTTGGCAGTGGTGTCAAACTGGAGGATGATGAATCAAATACGGAAGCCAATTGAGTGAATCAAAAGGCCAAGGGTAAATTTTCATAGTAGATTACCAGAGGACAGTAGCATATTTGAACAATGAAATAATTGACAGTAACTCAGGGAAAAAAAATTATTTCTTCAAAAAGCTGTTGGAGTTGGCATGCACCATCTGAGCAGACATGACTTAAATATTGCAGGATTTGGGGAAGAGGACAAGACGGTTAGGTCAAGCAAGATGTACTAGCTGCTTGCAAGTGTATGTATTGTCAGAGACAAGGAAAAACTGCAGATGCTGGAATCCAAGGTAGACGAACAGGAGGCCGGAAGAACACAGCAGGCCAGGCAGCATCTAGAGGAAAGGAGTAGTCAACGTTTTGTGTATTCTGCTCCTTTCCTCCAGATGCTGCCTGGCCTGCTGTGTTCTTCTAGCCTCCTGTTTCTCTACCCTTCTGTATTGTATTGCTCTATGATTCTGAGAGGACTGCCGGTCTAGCAAGGGTGGAAGAGGGAGAAGTATCTCTTCAACGGTTGACATTTTGTCACGTTGGAGACTCTATGTGAATGGAATTTCTCTATAATAGCTTAGCAGCTGGAGGATCACAATGCTGTTCCACTCCCGCGATCATTACCCAACGTGAGAAACAACTTTAACTACACATCCTACAATGCTCTGATTGGTCCAATACATATGCTTCCCCCTGATTGGTTCAACAGAGCTCCGCCCCAAACGGTCTAATACCCAGGACTCTCTCCGATTGGTTACTCCAACGACCAATTAAAATGCCTGCCATCCGAAAGTACAAAGTTTCAAGTCACGGGTGGGATTTATTCCCATCAGAGATAGTAGGAACTGCAGATGCTGGAGAATCCGAGACAACAAGGTGCAGGGCTGGATGAACACAGCAGGCCAAGCAGCATCATAGGAGCAGAGAGGCTGACGTTTCGGGTCTAGACCCTTCATCAGAAAAGCGGGAGGGGAAGGGGGTTTTGAAATAAATAGGGAGAGAGTGGGAGGCGGATAGAAGAGGGATAGAGGAGAGGATAGGTGGAGAGGAAACAAACAGGTCGAAGAGGCGGGGATGGGGCCAAGAAAGGTGAGTGTAGGTAGGGGATAGGTCAGTCCAGGGAGGACGGACAGGTCAAGGGGGCGGGATGAGGTTGGTCGGTAGGAGATGGAGGTGTGGCTTGGGGTGGGAGGAGGGGATGGGTGGGAGGAAGAACAGGTTAGG